GATTGTAGGTGAGTCAACTTCACTGAATCTGACTATCTTTTTCCCCACAGTGGCCAATTAGATGCTTCTAATTAGTTCCAACCATACCTCTTCCCCACTGCTTGTGGTATTCAGAGCTAAATTGCTCCTGAATAGGGAGGCTCTGTTTAGCACTCATGGGCACTGAACACTAATAAATCTCCCTATGAAGGTAAACATTTTGCTAACAACTGAATCAGATGAAAGATCTGCATAAGTCAGCTTTCTGTTTTTGGCCAAGATCTCTTAGAACAGGTAGTCCTTGACTTACAACCCTTTGTTTAGTGACTGTCCAAAATTACAACGGCGCTAAAAAAAAGTGGCCTACAACTCACAACTTATGACTTTTGAAGCATCCCCAGGGTTACATAATCAAAATTCAAGCACTTGGCAACTGGTATGCATTTCTGATAGTTGCAATTTCCCAGGGATATGAGATCACCATTTGCAACTTTCCCAACTGGTTTCCAATAAGCAAAGTCAACAAGGGAAGTCAGATTCACTTAACAACCATGTGATTTACTTAATGACCACAGCAAAAAAGGTCATAAAATTGGACATGCCTCTCTTAATAACTGCCTTGCTTAAAGACAGAAGTTCCAGTCACAATTGTGGTCATAAGTCAGGGACTACCTGTATGTATCTCAATTGAATAATTCTTGTTCTAGAATTCCTATGCCAGCTATGCCGAGAATTGAAGTCCACATATCTTAAAGTTGCCAAAGTTGAGAAATATTCTTAGAGCTACTCTTTAATAACTGCTTTGCAGATTAGAGACATTGTAGGCTGTGTTAAGTCTGTGGTAATAAAAAAATCCATCCTATAGAACCTTCTCTGACAAACAATTTTTATTAGAAGTCATAAGCTTCGGTGGCAGCCCACAAATGCTTATGCCTTTTAATAAACTTTATTAGTTTCACAAGATGCCACCCGATCCGTACTTATTGTTATATAACCATTCAGAGCATTCTGCTCCTTCATTTTAAAATTAATTGGATCACATCATGGCCACTTCTCGTGTTACCTAATGGTATCAAAATTATTCTGAAATCTGCTCTGCAAAGTTTGGGAAACCGAGATGTGGGAAGGGTTGTTGCCAGAAGGAATAATCTTCTGCAAAGCTTTTCTAGCTAGAAGAAGTCCTCTAGCATTTCTGCGCGTCATAGAAAAGAGTCATTAATTATCATTCTCTAATCTGTTTTTGGAATTTTAACTGTCAATAACAGTTGTAATAGCTGTACTAACAGCAGGGACAGTGCTATTATTGTTTGTATTGTTATGACAACATTATCATTATTATTTAATCTTTCAATCTTGGGCGCCAACTCCAGAGATGTTTTCTAGTTGTTGTTTTTTAAAGTTCTGCTTAAATTATTTTAGATTATCAGTTTTGGCTACTGCTCAAAAAGGACTGTGATATGGCAAATATTGCTTAGTTTCAGACTAAATTTTGAGATAATGAAAGATTAGGAAGGTCACATGCTTATTTGCAAAATAGATTGTGGTCACATGCTTATTTGCAAAACAGAAGGAACTCAGTGAACCCAACAATATCCTGTACACAACTTTTCATCTTGTAGGATTGAATTCTAGAATACGTTCAAACTAAGTTGTGGTGGATGCTAGTATGCCTCTGACCAGAAGCTTAATGGTCACAGTTCTATCCACCCAAAGATAATTGAAGAAATTAGCTCTTAAGCATACTAGTATAGCCTTACACACAGAAGCACAAACTCTTTCACACTCTGTAGAAGGAGCTTAACTGGAATTTAACCTGTGGCATTGATTCTTCACACCTGCATACATACTAGTGCTAATGACTAGATGCCTACAAAGAATATAAATGCATACAAATATAAACCCATCATTCAGAATTGAAGAAGCTTCTCAGATAAGAAGTAAAATATTTTCAAGGGGAAAACCCCCCAAGAAAGTCCAGTTGCCTTTCCAAAAAACATCTCTGGGACAGCATGTGATTTACTTTCTTAGGGCTGTGGGAAAATTAAAAATTGGGACTCACTTTGAACTGGGGGGGGGGGGGAGGCGTCTGTAGTCCCATTACTCTTAAATTGGGTGTTGTCTCAGAGCTCTGTAGCATTTACATGAAAGCCAGTTGGAAGTAATGCAGTGTTTCTGAATCTCAGTAAATTTAAGACCTAGCTGGCTGGGAATTCTGGGAGTTGAAGTCCACACGTCTTAAACTCGCTGAGATTGATAAATACTGGTGTTATTGCTGAGGTGGCTAGACTAGAAGCAGATGGCTTTATGTCTAAGGTAGGACTAGTCCAGCCTCTTGAACCATCAGACTGGCTCTTCCATAAACACTACAGAGGTCTGGAGCAACACCCATTTAAAAAGCAGTGGGATCCCAGACACCACCTTGAACGCTGAGGCTCGATCATGCCAAAGGAAGAAATAAAAGGATGGGTGCTCAGATGCTGCCTCAAGTTTTTTGGGAAACAAGTGGGCAGTGCGTGCTCTTAAAAAAAAGATAACCATGCAAGGAAAAGCTAAGAAATGCACTTCTTAGATCTACAGCTGACAAGCAGGGACAAGTGTGTGAAAAACAAGAGCCAACAATTAAGGTTGCAGGGCCCCTCTTGAAAGAATCTCAATTCAGACCGCCTAGTTAGAAGCAAAGGAACCTAATTCAGAATTTGCTTCGCCTGTCAAAGACTAAGGAGAAAATCCTTAATTTGTTGGACCTCCAAAATAAGGGTAGCAAAGCTAAGATCAAAAGAGTCACTCTGTGAGTGAGATGGGCAATCTCCAAATTTGATATATAAAAAATATGGGGGGGTCTGTTTTTTTTCTACGGTCTTAATGTTTCTTCCTGGAAAAATGCACATTATTTATTTATTCATTTATTTATTTAACTTATATGCCACTCGTATCATCAAAGGCAACTCTTTCTGGCTAGTGGTCTATATTTTTATATGTATACAACCACGAATTATTACTATTAAGCCCTCCCTGGCTACCCCTTTGTTGTAGGAAGAGGGTTGGGATATTCTATGAAGTTGAGAGCTATACAGGCAAAAATATCTTATGATTAGTGAAGATGGTTAGTTTTATGTAGCTACTGGAAAAATAAAAACCAATTAGCTGGATGCTTACGTTAGTTGCCAAAAGACAAATGAAATATTTAAATGAAAGCAGAGGGAAGTCCCATCTTGCCTCATCTGCTCTCCCAGAAGTCAAATAAACTCCACAGAAGATTGAAAACATTCAGCCTAAAACCAGGCTCCAGGGAAGTATTTAAACCTTTCAAAGCCAGGTTACCACAGAAAATCTTTCTGTTAGTGAAGAAAAAGGAGAGCTCTCCTTAAAATGGCTATTGCACTATTTTGTCCTTATCTTTTGGGGGAATACATTAAAGTCAATCCTTTTTTATCCCCATAAAACACATGTTTCCATTATGAATCTCAAGATGCCTTCTGGTTATACCACAGAACATTCTGTGGCATACACCCAAACATTCAAACAGCAGAAGGGAAGAAGGGTCCAAAACAGAAACTTGAAATTTCAATTCACTGCAGCAATTTTTCTAGCAATATAGAAGAAACCCCTGGCTAAAGTCTAATTCTGTTAATTGGCACACGTGGATACCAAGACAGTTCGGCTGAGAAGCCTCCCAAGAGATTGTGCCCGGCGCCAGCAATTCCTACTGGAGGCTACTGGGGACAAAAAGCACATTTTTAAGTTCCTCGTCAGAAAGTGGGCAACGATATGTCAAAATCCTTCCCTTTTTCCTCCTTTTCAGCAAAGATTTCAGGCAAGATTGCAAGACCAACAAAAGGAATGTACCCATCTTCACACACACACACACACACACACACACACACACACGCAGAGCCAACTTTGTGGACCTGTGTGCCCATTGAAAAAAAAGAACCAATTGGAAGCAGGCTGGCAAAACCTAGGGGCAGTTTTTATTAATAAGGAAATAAAAACAAAGGTACGGTTAGGCATGCATCCAATGCCCTTTACTTAGTACAGCTGTTACAGGAAGGCCTTGAATCTGAACCCTTCCCTTAAATCCATTCCTTTGTTTTCTGTCAATCCGGGGCTTTGGAGGCATCTTCCTTGTCAAAGGGTGCTTTCGCTCAAGTGCACCCGAAGAAATTAAAATGTCAAATAATAAAAAAAGAAGGCTTGTTATTTTTTGCTTCGGGCAAGCCCACGAAAGCCAGGCCGTTTGGAAGGCCCCTCTCTCTCAGGGAAGGAGGGTGAATTGATGGGCCTACCTTACCCCACCCTGAAAGGCAGCCTCCACCTGGGTCGGGTCGGAGGACAGCAAAAGAAAGGAAGAAAAACAACCAACCCAACCCTAATCCAATTTGGAGTGGAAGGAACAGGAGGGACAGTGGGAAGCCACCAACCAAGTGCATCTTCTCAGAATCGCCTGAGTCATTGCTTGGATGGGGTGGGGAGCGGGGGTGGCTGGGTGGCGGCAGTCACGCACTACCACGCAAACACACATACACAGCAGATGAAAGCTTGCAAACAACAGGTAAAAAAAAAGAGGAGGGAGAGGCTGCGAGAAAGAGATGGAGCGTCACCCCCTGAGAAAAAGGACCAGCCTTTCTTTCAGCTTCCCTTCCCATTCGGGGTGTGCAGCCGGCTAGCCTTTTTTTTCTTTAACAAGAGTTGGCGGGCAAAACCAGCAAGGCTGGAGACCTGAAGTCCGAGGAGCCCAATGCAGCAGCATCGCCCATTGGGAGTGGGGTGGGGGGGAGACAAGAGGCGAGATCTGCCACGGCCAAGCCTTTTGCAACATCTCCTCCCCGCCCCATCAGCCACAGCCAAGGGGTCCCCAGCATATTGTAAAGGGAGCCGCTCCAGCACCGGAGGCGGAACGAAGACGGGGAAAGACTCCCGACACCAAAAGGGCACCCTCCAGGCGCGGACCGGGAGCGAAGGAAAGAGAGGGGAAAAAGAGAAAGAAAGAAAGAAAGAAAAGAAAGAGAAGAAACGCTTACTCCATTTTTCAGGACTCCGCGGTGCTCCCCTCGGCTACTCCCGGCAGTCTGGCGGTCTTGCAAGGTGCAAGAAAAGGGAGGGGGGAAAGAGCCGGTTTAGCGGGATTAATCTTCCTCTCCTCCTCCTCCTCCTCCTCCTCCTCCTTCCCCTCCTCCTCGTCAAGAGCTCTGATTTCCAGAGGCCGTCAGAGAAGGTGGCGGTGACGGCTGCACCTGACGACTCCACATCCCATCCGGCGTTGGTTACCGTCCCGAGCGGATGGGCTGTGCGAGCCGAGGATGCGAAGCCTTGGGTATTATGGGCGAGTGTGGGATGGATATGTGTGTGTGTGAGTGAACGTGTGTGCGCGGGTGCAGTTGAGCCGCCCCCCCCCTCCCAAGCCGGCCTTCCTTCAGCATTGCAATAGCGCCCCTTGCTGGTCGCCTCCCGCCACGGCGGGTGTTTTCTCCCCAAAGCAGAGAGGCAGCCGGCGAGCTGAAAGCCGACGAGGCTTCGGAGGGAGCCGAGCGGCGGTCGTGGGGGGGGGCGGTGAGACGGCTGGTGGGAGCCGCCCGGTTGCTCCAGCGCCTCTCCCCTCGCCCCGCTCGCTGCGGCGGGCTGCGCTGCTTTCTACGCTCCGGGTGGGAAATAAGATGCGGCTTGGTTTGCTCATCGCGCTCGATTTTTTTTTTTTAAAGCGGCTTTGGTTTGGGCTTAGCGCAACGGGCACTTTCTGGTCTTGAGAAAGGGCGCGAAATGTAGGGCTTCGCTTTATCAGGGCTCCCTGGCTGGTTCGGCAAGCTACGGTTAGAATGAACTGTGGCTGAGGGTGAGCCCTGAATGCAACCATTATGAGCCTCGGTCGGGGCACAAACAGCCCGAGAAATCCGCGAACGAGGATGGGTTTCGGGGAAAAGCCGAGAAATTCGCCTTCGGGGCGAAAGGAACCCTTCTGAATGGAAGAAAAAGAAAGAACAATTCGACAAGACCCGTTCCTAGCCAGAGGAAATCCCTAAGCAAATTTACTGGCTTGCATGGTTGCATTTATGTGATAGGTTGCATCATTGTGGGGCAAAGGCACTCTGGGCATATGCAGAGTGTTTTCCCCTCTGGAACAAAAGACAAAATAGCGAGATCGCGGCAACAGATACAGACAAGTATTTCCGGAGAAACACAATGAACATAGTTTCTCACCCTCAGCTGTTTTAAAAAGTGGGATAATTCCCAGACTTCTGCAGCCATTCTGGGAGATGGAAGTCCACACATCTAAAAGTCGCTGAGGTTGGGAAACACTAGTTCAGACCAAAATGAACTGAAAACTGAGGAGGCAGAGGGAGAAACAAATGAGCAGGTTGGCTCAGTGATCCGCTCATATTTACTCCTTGCAGAATATGCTCTCCAGTGAGCAAATGAAGTTGCCTTATAATCACAGATTCTCACAAAATACTGAATCCAACTCTGGTTGATGAACGCCAACTGTGTTCCCATAATCTTCTGGGCCCAGACAGATAAATTACCTTACTGTATTCGGAGATGGCCTGGTTTGCTTCTGTCACCTAAGACAATATACGGAAGTAGAGGGGCCCTCAGAGATCATCTGTTCAGCCAATACCCAAATTCAACACTATGACTATTCTGATTGGGGACTATCCAGTGCCTCTTCAGGGTGAGGCACGCACAACCCTTTGTCCCAGTGGTGCTTTTTCCACAAGGCAACTGGACTTGGTGTTTTTTTTTCTTTGAAAATGTTTTGTTTCTCATCCAAAGTGTTTCTTCAGTTCTTTCTGGGTGAGATATGAAATGTTTTCAAAAGAAAAAAAAGTTCAGATGCCTTTTGGAATAAAGAATCTTTGGGACAACCATGAACCTAGATAATTGACTCTCCATAGATATACAACCCTTGTCAAAGACTTATCCAGTTGCCTGTGTTCACCCCTCCGGTTTAACTCGAAGGAGGTGAAAAATACATCACACCAACCACACGAGCTGTATTTGTACAACATGCTAAGCTAAAACCAAAGCGATGAGCGGTGCCCTCCCATCCAAGATGAATATTAACTGAGCTTAGTATGTTGTGTGAATGCATCAGGTAGATTTATAGCTGGCTTAGAGTGCTGTGTAGATGTGGTCCATTTCTCACAATTCCTTTTCGGTAATAAACTCACCTGCCTCTTTTAACCTTTTCTTGTGAAATTAGACTGTGCAATTACAGGTAGTCCTTAACTTATGACTGGTCACTTAGTGACTGTTAATATTACAACTCAAATCTGAAAAAGCTGCTTACAATCTATTTTGAATTACCTCAGAGGTGGTTTTTCAAAAGACATCTGGATTGGGGTTTTTTACCCTGAGGAAGAAGAAGGTGTTTCATTTCTTATCCAAGACACCTCTTCTTCCTCCTCCTCAGGGAAAAAAACAGTCTAGTTGCCCTTTGAAAAACCATATTTGAGACAACTATGACCTGAAAAACTGAGAATCTCCACAGACGTTTTTGGAGTTCTGACAATGCTCCCCACAGAGTCATTATTTTGAGTGCTCAGCCACCTGCACAAATCTATAACCGTTTGCGGCACCCCTCAGTCACATGATTGATTTATGATGCTTTTTCCAAAAATTGACTTTTACTCCCAGTTTCCTGCAAAAAAAATACCCCATAGCAAACAATACCCTTGCTTAACAACCATTGCAGTCACTCTATGACCATGGCATTTGCTTAATGACCACAAAAAAAAAAATCATAAAATCGGGCATGGTCACATGGTGACCCACTTAATGACCATTACAACTCAGCCAAAATTGCAGACTCAGGGTTGTAAATCAAGGACTATCTGTTACTATCTGTTAATTCAAGATGAATTTTTTTCTGCTGGCTATAGTGACGTGGCAATAATAAATAAAGTTGTTTGTCATGGCTTCCTCGTCTGGTCCTCTTTAATTTTTTTCTAATCTGCCAAAATCAGCCAGTGCTGCCACCAGTTGGCGTTATTTAGAAATCCATTCAATATATTTCAGGTGTGATATGGCTAACTCGTTTGTGTCAGAACCATCACAATTAAAATAAGGCATACTATACAGCATAGCCTTTAAAATATAAAAGACAAGATTAAAATATGTACAAGAATTTGCTCAGAAACTAGCAACATTAATTGTGCTCTGTTGTGCTGCTGCCATGTTATCCGCAAGTATACACTGATCAAGACATAAAGGGCAGGTATACATATGTGTTGTTGTCTGAATGTCACCACAATCGCAAAGAGCAGAAGCCACCAGATAGTCTCATTTGTTCAGAGTGTCTCTGGACCTTGTACCTGTGTGCAGTCTATTCAATGATTTCCATACTTCCCACTTTTCATCAGATCCAGGTGCCAAATCCTTCGTTGGTTCCACCCAGTGTTGGTTCGTTGTATAGTCAGTCCTCAACATACAACAGTTCATTTAGCGACCGTTTGAAGTAAAAATGGCACCGAAAGAAGTGACATGGTCATTTTTCACACAGCCACTACGGCATCCCCATGGTCATGTGATCAAAATTCAGATGCTTGGCAACTGGTTCATACTTATGGCTGCTGCTGTATCCCCTGGGGGTCATGTGATCCCTTTTGTGACCTTCTGACAAAGTCAGTGGGGAAGCCAGATTCACTTAACAACCACATTACTAACTTAAAACTGCAGTGATTCGACTAATAACTGCGGTAAGAAAGGTTATAAAATGGGGCAAAACTGAACAACCGTCTCAGCATCAGAAATTTTGGGCTCAACTTTGGTCGTAAGTCGAGGGTTATCCATAGTTCCACTCTGCTGACAAATTCTTCAAAATCTTCTGTCAACCTAAAGAAACTTTTCCTGGATTTTAATCTGTGATGATCTGTTGTAGGCCATAGAGAGGGTATTGTTTAGATATTGAGCCTCTCTCTGTATGCTGCGGCTTCTCTACAAACAGCAGGTGGGGCAATGCTGGCTAGATGGTAGATCTTATCTAGAGGGGTCGGTTTAAGGCATCCGGTAAATAACTGTTTACACCTCAAACCAGCCTCTTTCCTCCAGCCCCTTTTGCAGTGATCACAGCCCACCTCCCAAATTTTACTGCTGAAATCCTGCTTCAGAATACTAAATTCCAGCAGAACACTTTTTTTTGTTTTCTTTAAATAGTAATAAGAAGCAAAAAAAAAAAGTGATGTAGGCCTCTGCTAGGTGTAGCTGTTTGATTTAACCCCCACAAGCCCTTCAAAATATAATATTTTGAAAGAAAAATAATCATAAAGAAAAAAGAAAGATTGATCCAGCCAGCCCCTTCTGAAAATGCCAGTGTTCCTTTCATTTTGCCAGCAACCATGAACTTCAGATTTCTTTTTTAAAAATTAGGGGAGGGGGCAGGACATGACTGGAAAAACAAATCTACTCCTAAGAAAAAAAATCCATCTTTAGATGGCAATATAATAGGTCACATTTTCCTGAAAATATTGGTGATTCAAGGCCTGTTTTTGCATACCACAGGATTGATATGGTATTGAGCAGAATTTTCATTGACAGCAATGTATTGGAGCCTCATCAATTACTAACCAAACACCTCCAGCAAACCCACAAATCAAATCAAAAGTAGTATTTTAAACATTTATTTTTTAATAAATAATTCAAAGCTGTGAACATACTTAATGCTCCTTCCTCCTGCTATTTGCCCCACAACAACAACCCTGTAAGGTGGGTTGGACAGAAAGAGAGTGATTGACCTAAAGCCAGCCAGCCAGCTTTCATGCCTAAGGTGGGACTAGAATTCACAGTCTCCTAGTGATTGGCCCAAAGTCACCAAACTGGATTTCATGACTAAGGTGGGACTGGAACTCACAGTCTCCTAGTTTCTAACCTGGTGCATTAACCATTAGACCAAACTGTCTCACCATAATAGTTTTCATAGTGTTTATTTATTCAAAAGGAGAAAACTTGTAAGGATGAAAGACTCATTGGCTCTTAGAAATATAGTATTTGCCTTGTGGCCAAAGTGGACCGACTAGTTCATGTCCAGCTGTGGTGCAAATCTTTGTGGAATTATTTTACAGTATTTCTGTTTTAAAAAACTTAATTACACATACTGGCTCAGTCTACCTAGCTGTCTTTAATAACCCACAACCAATTTGAATTCAAGAACTTCACATATTTTATTTTGATTTACAGATCATTCACCTTTAATATTTTTGTATTATTCTGAATTTTATATTAAAATGCTCTGAGAAGATGAAAGTTGTTCATATAATTAAATTAACCTATTACATCATTAGTTAATTAATAGGTACAAATAAAGGTCAAGGGGATTTTTATTTCATTTCCTGGAGCATTTTTTTAAATTCAGAGTTTTA